TACTGTTGGCGCAATCTATCTGAGTCCCACGAAGCTGCCCTGCCTCATGTCTGTGTCCCTTCGCTCCTAAAACAGTTTCTCAAGAAGTTCGCAGCGTTGGCTCCATGAAGAGCCCTGTGGTCTTTGGCTTCCACAGAAGTCGATTTCAGGATGAGTCACAGATCCACGCAATGACCAGTCCGTCCTTTCCCACCAAGAGGGGCGACTCATCTGTTCCAGCTGCTCATGAAGGCATTCGAGTCATTACTGGACGATCGTTTGGGCATTTGGTCGGTTGCTTCACCAAGGAAACAATGACCAAAGAGAGGCTCCTACCAGGACAGAGGGCCCGCAGTTTTGTGCAGGGTGGCTAAACACTCTTAACATGCTCAGGGATCTCTCTCGGAATCAAAGAACTGGAAGGGAACTCGGAGATCCTACATTGTAGCTCAGACACACCGAGTCAAGGATGGAGTTACTTTTCACCTCATCCGTTTGAAGCTTTTCATAAGGATGGAGACCAAACGCTGCCCAAGACGGAGCACAGGGGTCCTTTCAGAAGGGCTCAGCACTACAGGATAGAAAGTGCAGCGGCCCCTCATCCACCCCTGGAATCTCCATTAAAAGGAACAGAGAGCAGCGGGCGGGAAGGAGCCGCTGCCAGTCAGAGTAGGCAGTGCTAGGTTACGACAGTCCGCGAGAGAGCAGTTCCTACGGCGGCAGAGTGTGGAAGGAACGCACCCCACTGCAGACAGACACCGAAGCATCTATGCCAGAAATCAGACGATCTAGTCTCCTCCCTTCCTCTGCTGGATCCTTCTGTCCTTCCCTCCCGCCACCTCCACGCTCACTTGGCCAAGCTTGCAAGGCCCTGGAAGAAAGTTGGGCCCGGACAGGAAGAGGTCCGCTAGCAGCAACCCCTTTGCCCTTAATAACACGCGGAAGAAAGAGAAGAGGCAAGAGGTTACAGCGCCGATGCAGGCAAGACATGAACACTGCTGGGGGGGGGGGACCCTCTACCTCCAAGTTTCCAAAGGTTGTGTGCACGGGGAGGGAGATTTTTGGGGGGTGGGGGTGGGGAGCTAAGCTAAACAGCATTTGCACAGAGCAATCTGGATTCCTCCCAGCCTCTCTGCCAATCTGCATCAGAAATAGAAACGAGGTTCGAATTAACCCGTTTAATTAAGCAGCGGCGGTCTAAAAAGGGGAGGCTTGGGGCTTCCCATTTAGGACCACCCTCCCGTCCCCATCCCCATCCCTGGAGCACCACTGCCCCTGTCCCATGGACACCCCCCCCCCAAGTAATGCCGGAGGGGAAACGCAGAAGCCAAGCTGTAGAAGGCAAGAGGTCAAGGCAGAGAATTTGCGTGGTCCCTGGAGACACGCCACAGCCTCATCAATCAATGACTTACAGGGGGCCCTAAGGCAGCGGAGGGGTGGGGGGTAGAGACCCAGACACAGCCCCCCTAAGAGCTGACCTCTCCCCCTCCCCCCTCCCCACTTACTCAGGGCAGGGAAGATGCTGTGACTCCCACCGCTTTTTCCCAGCCGATCCCGGGCTGATGCTTCCTCCAGCAAAAGAGCCGATTGTCTGGGAACCCGGGGGCCCACCCACCACCCAGCCCAGTTCAGATGGGTGGGGGGAGGAAGGGTGAGGAAGGGTCTTTCCAAAAGGCTGCGGCTCCCACCCACCCCACCAAGGCCTGGGATGGAGAGGGGGAATGTAAACAGGCGCCGGCAAGAGCCAAGCCTTATTTTCTAATTGCTGTTTTTGTTGTTGTTACAGCCAAGTTTCAAAAAGCGAAAGAAACCAGAACCAAAATGAAGAAAAACTGAAACAAATTATTAGCGCCCATGCATGAAATGCCAGTGAATCTATTACCCTGCATACATACATAACATAGAGTGATATGTACGCTTTGTGCACGGAAAAATATATTCCTATCATAATTGCATTACATTTATGCTCTTGCTTTCCTTCCTTTTGCAAGGAACCCAAGGTGACTTAGAGGCTTCCCTCTTCCCCACTTTATCCTCACAACAACAACCCTGTGAGGTAGGTCAGGCTGGGAGGCTGTGACTGGCCCAAGGTGGAGCTTTGCAGCTGAGTGGGACTTGAACCCAGATCTCCTGCGTCCCAGCCCAGTGCGCTAACTGCTAGGTCACACTGCCAATATTATCATCAGGGGTAATTGTGCACAGGCAAAGGCAGCAGCCAAAAGTTGTGCTGCAGTAGCCAGGGAGCTGGACTTCGACCAGGCCTTAAGTCTTCACTCAAACACAGCGTCTCCTGGGCTCCTCAGTTCCGCCCAATCCATCCCAGCTCACAGGAACAGTTAAGCTCTTGAAGCAGGGGAGAAACACGCACTCCTATGTGCTGCCCTCCGTCGTGGAAGGAAAGGTTAGGATAAAAAGCAGAAGTCAAATGCAATTGTTTTTACGCTATTTTTTTAACCAAGGTTTTGTCTTAATCTGTACGCTCTAATTGTTACCTGCTTTGAGCATGCAGTTTGGACGAAAGATGGGACAGAAGTGCAACCTAAACTAATTCCACACGAACTTGTGTAGTTTGACAGATGCTTTTAGGCTCCAGTAGCCAGCAGCAGGGTCAGCGAAGCTGGGGATGATGGGAGCTATAGTCCAATGCCATCTGGAGGATTGTAGGTGCACTATCCCGAACATACTTCTGAATCCCTTGAGCAGAGAAAGGGACAGACCCTTTGCCTATCTCAGCCATTAAAAACTGCAGGTGTGGAAGCTGCTCGTGGTTTCTTTGCAATGGAGGACCTGCTCTCTGTACATGCCTAGGAACACTTCAGCCGGGGATCAAATTAAACTCTGCGAGCGATGCAATAAGCAGGACTCAAGCCTGTGCAGGAGGAGTACGTGTTTCACTCCAACTTCCATCAGCCCCAGCCAGCAGGGCCCATAGTCAGGGATCATGGGACTTGTAGTGCAAGCCATCTGGAGGGGAATGATTTGCCTGCCCCAGCCCGCACAGTGAGCAGCCTCCTACAAGAAACCCGAGAAACAACAGATCCCAAGAACCAAGATCTGGACACTTAAGCCTTCTCTGGCTGGGCCTGGAAAAGGCCGGGGGGAGACTGCCAGCAGCCCTTGATGGCGGCAGCTTGAAAGCGAGCCACGTGGAGGAAAATCAACAGGGCACACCTCCAGCTAAAGAGCTGCACCCGACCGACCACAGTCTCTCTTATCAGCAACCTGTTTAAATTTATTGCCGCTCGCTCAGGAGGCTGGGCCCACACGCCCTAGTGAAGCACCTACAACGTCAGTTTGGAACTGGCATGCGAAGGAAATGCCAACTTTGCCCGTAACTGCTCACCAAAATGAAGAGCGCCCCCAAGCCCTGTCAGCACGGGCAGGAATCCAACAGGAAACCCTTTTGCCATGACCTGGCCCTCCAATGCGAGGGAAGAAGCAAGGAAGATAAATAAATCAGAAGCAACACCGGTGCAATTTCGGTCTGGAAGCAGCCTGCAAAGAGCATGACCCGTTCTGCACACGTGCAAAAGCTCTTGTGGGAGAAACAACAAAAACAGGGACCCCCATACACTGAAGATGCGAGCAGCCAAAGAATCCTAGCTGCGCATCCCCATCTACACAGACACAGAAACAGAGAGAGTCAGACGGGTCCTCCCAGGCCATCTAGTCTGACCCCCGGCTCCAGCCAGCTCCACTCATGACATGCCCACCATGTGCCTGTCCAGCCTATCCTTGAACACCCTCACCAAAGGGGCCTCAACCGCCTCCCCTGGAAGTCCATTCCAGACCCTCGGGGTCCTAACCACCAGGAAGTACTCCCTGGCACCCACTCTAAATTTGGGTTCCCTGAGTTTTGCTCCATTGGAGCCCATCCTGTCTTCCTCTGCAGGGGAGAACAGGTCTCTGCCCATGAGAGGTACCCATATCACAACGAAGAAAGGGACTAGCAGCGTAGCTTTTTAAAAAGAAATACCCGAGAGCCAAAATGTAATGGCGAGCCACACTCAGCCGTGGCGTTCCGTGGCAGAACGATCCCACAGCCCCTGCCCCACTCCTGCCCATCACAATCGGCAGGTCCACAGCCTGGTGCGGCCACGGACCACTTTCTTTCAACCTGTACTACTTCTCAGGGCTGTTGTGAGGATTAGCATTTTGGGGGAAAGGCAGCACACACACATAGCGTCACAAACACGACTCGAGGCGAGGGCAGCTGTGCCTCCCGGGTTAACTGATTCGTACGAGTAAAAGCACCCATTGCAAATTCGAGACTGCATGCTCTCCGGGGCAGAACTTCGGCTATTTCAGCCTACCGCGGTTTCTCGAACTGCCTCGCCTTCCCCGAGCATGCTCGCGGGCGTTTACACTACAATCCCCAGCATTTCTGACCAGTCGCCAGGCTAAACCGGAATGATGGGATCTCAGGTCAACAACTATTCAGAGTGACCCGGCTGGGGAAGAAGTCGGCCCTTCCAACATGCGTCCATAAACACCCGTTTATATATATATATGAGAGAGAGAGAGAGGGAGAGAGAGGGAGAGAGAGAGAGGAGTTGCTCCCCCCCCCAACTCAAGCTGCCTTTGTACAGACTTGCTTCTCCAGCGGGCGGCCCCCCCCCCCCCCCCCGACTGGGCGAGGTTGCAGGAAACTTAAAAGGAGCTGCAACGTGGAGGGAAAAGAAGAGGAGACGCAGCTTCAACTTTCCTAAATGTGAAACCTCCAAAAAGCCAGCCGGGAGCTGGGCGAGCAGGGCCGCCCCGCGACAACTCGCGCTTGCCCCTTCGCTCGCCTCGCTGCGCCTTCGCCTCCCCCCACGCATTTCTCGGAGCTCCCCCCCGCCCCGGGGCGCTCTGCCGCCCGGAGCGGCGTGCAAGGGCCGGCTAGGCATCCTCCCCATCCGCGCGACTTGGGGGGCCCCGCGTTTCGCAGCCGCACCTCCCCAACCACACGGCGCCCGCGCTCCCCAAAAGCGCGCCGGGCTTCTGCAGCCAGGCACGCTCAGATCCGCCCGGCGGCTCACCTGCGACGAACTGGCGGCGGCTGTCGTCCAGGTGCGCCGAGACCACGTCCCCCATGGCGGCGGCGGCGGCGGCGGCGGGGCGGCTAGTGGCGGGGCGCGGACGGGCCGCGGCGGGCGCTGCGCTCCATAGGCGAGCGACGCAGGAAGAGCGCCGGGCGGGGAGCGAGCCAAGACGCCGCCGACGCCGCCGCCCCGCCCCGCCCCGCCCCGTGCACGCGCCCGCGAGCTGCCCCGCGCGTTCTCACGCGCTGCGGACGCGGGGGGCGCGCGAGGCGGGGGGGGGGGGGGAAGACCCTGCTCTCGGCGGGGCTCCTCGGGAGCAAGCCTGCCCCTTCCCCCGCGCGCGTTGCCCACTCCCAGGGCGCCTGCGCGCACTCGCTCCCGAGCCCCCCCCCCACCGGTACGTCCAC